ATAATAAGCACCAAGACCCTATTCTCAGCAAGCAGGCCCCTATGCTAAACCCCCATTATACCCCTTATAGTAGCCCTTACAGACCCAGTCCCTGGAACCCTAGGCCCTATTGTCATTTTTAGGCCCCTTTCTTAGGTCTCCAAGGCCAGTTGGATGTAGTTGAGTGCATCTTGGTTTCCCCACATTGAGACCTCACATATGCTCTCAAACCAGGGTTTAGGGTTCACGGTTTTCTACGTTTGAGGTCCAGGAAAAGCTTAAAGAAACGAACTGGTTACAGCCGGAACCCAGAACTGTCCTGGAACGAGCAACCCGGGAGTCTTGCAAAGGAGGCTCGTTCAAGTTCCAATATATTATGTATACATGGTGCCTAATAAACCTATAGATGTATACATACGCACTTACATATATGCATGTGTGTATATATCTATCTATCTATCTATCTATGTATATATAGTATGTATACACACATGCATACGCGTGTGTGCATTCTATGATATTCTATGGGTGCATCGAGAGCTCATGCAAACAACCTAAGATCAGGTTTCTTTACAAGGAGCCACCTTCCTACGCAGGCAGAAACTCTAGACCCAAGAGTAACCTAGGAATAAAAAGGGTGCCCTTTTTGGTTTAAATGGGGTTATAAGGGAACCTGAACCCTAAAAAAGGGAATAAGGGCCTACTCTAGGTCCTAGAACTCAGACGTCGACAAGCAATCAGACAAGTCCACGACAAACGGCCGACGCCCAAGACAGGGGGTGCAAAGTTGCAGGAGCCAAACACCGGCACACAAGTGCCCAGCTATGTGGTCTGCTGTGAGCGGCTGCATCGTCAGATTTCTCTTGTTCATACAGCAGTCTCCTACGAAAAATGAAATCTGAGTACTAGTGTGCTTTTAGCTCGAACCTCCCACCAGACAAACGCAAACGTACACAAACACACACACACACAGACACACACACACACACACACAGACACACACACACATGACACATCACCGTTTCAACTCACAGAGCATGCAACGATCCGAAGCTTGCGAAACATTGTAACAGGCCTGATGATCTTCGTCTGGAGGACTTCAAAGAGGCACCACGCCCGTGTCAGGGGCCATGCCTCTCACAGTTGGTGGGGTGATGATTCCGTTCACGATGGCGCTGATGAAGATGACGGTACTACGGGGTCCTTAATAATTAGAGTCGGGTTTTGGGGTATATAAACCATCCTATACTTAGAAAAAAGAAGCCCCAAAGTAGTATAGGTACTTATGAAGCCCTCTATAGTAGTCACAGCGATGGTAAGAACTACGGCGATGGTAAGAACTACATCACTCGAGCGGCCATGGGCCGTCATGTGGGCGGGCAGGGGCGGTTCAAGGTTTTGGCTTGCGTTAGGGCTCCTGTGCACTCTTAAGGGTCTCGTGCAACATTGAATTTCCTCAAGCTCCGCAAACCCAGAGCCCTATCCGGCCAACTAATGTAATTGGAGGCCTCAATCATTAGAACAGGGTTTTGGGCCCCATCATACCTATAATTATGATAAGGACCCCCCCCAAAAAAAAAAATATAGTGTATCTAGGTAATCACTTAGTCCCCTATAGTAGAGAAAAACGAAGCACAAAGACCAAGACTTCAGAGGATTACTGCACACAGTTTGGGTTCCCTTAAGGGCTCCTTCACGGGGTCCTTTATGAGGTGTAGGGTATTGGGCGAGATCGGCTTTGAGGCAGGGCGCCCTACAGAAATTTAGAATTTGTATGGGGGATGTGGGTAGCTCTCTAAAATAGGATGCCTTTTTAAGCCCCCACAATACTACGGCACCCTTAAAAAAAAAGGACCCTAAAAGGGACCGTGTATAGAAAACATCCCATGTAGGGTCGTATAGTATTGGGGGGTGCAATCTGCAAAACCTCTTCAAGGGGCCTTCGCAGTAGGATCCCTGTTGCGGGGGCCTATGACATCGGCCATGTAGGGGCCTTAATGGTTAGAATTGGGGTTTGCGGGGCTCTCACCTTACTGGAGCCCTGAGGAAGAGCCGTAAATGCCCTAAACCCGAAACCCTGAACCGTATGACACCTTAAAACCCTCAACCCTGGATATCCTGAACCCGTAATCCCACACCTTAAGCCGCATACTGTACCTCAAACCTGGTTTCTTTAAATAGATCTGGTGGCGCCTCATCATCGAGCACCATCGCAGTGCCGACCTCCAGTGACCCAAATAACCCCTGCTTTACGTAACGATGAGGGTACGATTCCCCGGATATGAAGATACTAAGTATCAGAAGGACTACAGGAATACTATCATTCAGTGTGTGGGCCCTGAAAATTTGAAACAGCAACCTGGGCAAAAGGCTATCACAGTTGGCAAGCCCGAGTTGGGGTGGAGAGGGCTGAGGAGGGGCGGGGGCGGGCGGAAATGCTCCTCATGTGCAAACCTCTCAAGTCCCGAAAACCCAGTGTCATTCAAAGGAAGACCAAGCCATGTAAAGGCCAAACTTGTCGGCTTGACTTCGGGTCGAGAATTCGTGCGTCATGCGGCCACAACCCAATTACGAGTTCAACAATTTTGATGCTGGGTTTTGGGCAGCTGCATGGCATTTGTATGCATTTGTTAAGCTTGGTCAACACTGTTGATGATATAAATCCTGCATTACCCTAAGGACCCTAAACTATGGGAATTATGGTATGTTCCTTATAACGGGTAATGCAGGATTTCTATCATCAACCGTAGTATCAGAAGCTTCCGCAAAATCGGTTCGTGGGCAGCGAGGCGCCCTCCTCAAATCGATTGAAACTCTACAGTAGAAGCCCCAAAGTTGGAAAACCAATAGCCTCAATCCTTAAGAGTAATGTATAGGGAATACCAGCACTATTTGGCCTTAATCCGGTTTCCAGCTTTATGGGGGTTTATTATGAAGACTAAGACAACTCCGATGAAGACTCCAGAAAACGGAGGCGACTGATCCAAAACCTGGACCCAAGCCATCATTCAGCATCTGAGGCTCCCGCGCAAGTGGTACCTCAGCCCGCACGGAACAGCAAGAGACGAGAAAAGTGCTTTATATTATTATAAATATTACTATTATTATTGTTAATATTATTATTATTGTTATTAATATTAATGTTGTTACTGTTATTGTAAAAGAGTTGTTTTTTGCGGCTTAGGGTCTCTAGGGTTTCGGGTGGAGGGATCTGACTGCCTAGGGCTTCGATTGAGGATCCCCAAGGGTCCATGTACCCAAATAGGGCTCCTTTAAGTGATTCCTTTGAAACTCTACTGAGGATGATAGCGACCCTTGTTGACAGAATTTTACGTAGTCCTTGGGTTTAGGGTTTAGGGTTTCAGGGCTAGGGTTTTAGGGTTTAGGGTTTTAGTCCTTGGGTTTAGGGTTTAGGGATTTAGGGCTAGGGTTTTAGGGTTTAGGGCCTTGTAGTACCCTTTTGGAGAGTGGTGGTAGACTGGTCTGGGTGGCCTGAAACCTGGAGAGCGTATGCTCAAAGCCTACACTCGCAAACTCCCGTCAATCACTGATTTCTTGAATTCGATTCGGAAGACTAAATTAAAAAAACCTTTAGTGGCCGCCTTCCTGTCAGCTCCGGAACATTCTGAAAATGACGTAAACCTGGGACACATAAAGTCCGCATAATGTATAAAGCCCAGAAGCCCTCGCTGGCTCTCTACTTGGAGGTTCATGGGTAGTTGTAAGTAGGGTTATAAGTCCCCCAATACTTATAATTACTACCCATGAACCATAAAAAACCCCTTGTTTCAGGAAGGTCACTGAGCAACGCCAGGTAGAAGGACGAGTCTTCCCTGTTTGCAGGGCCACATGTGGGAACATGTGTGTATGTATGTATTTTATGTATGTGCGTACGTAGGTAGGTATGTGTATGTAACATGTATGTATATGGACATCTGTGCTAGTGCATGCCTGTCCGTCTGCATACTGCGGTACAAACATGCGTAGACAAATCCGTATAGATGTGTACATAGACACACATGTACCCGCATGTAGCTACTTCTGGCATACATGCAAGAAAATCTGCACTTCGAAAAACACTCCAAAACACACATGCGCGAGTGTGTGTGTGTGTGTGCGTGTGTGCGCGTGCAAAGTATTGTAGATGTGCATAGAAGAAACCAAGCATGCACATAGCCAGATCCTAAATCCAACCACCAGCCGACCAGCTGGATCCAATTTCCATCTCCAGCTCCCACTGGTTGTTGCCTCGAGTGATCAAATCTTGAACCCAGAGACTCCAATATCCCTTAATTAAGGAATCTACCTCAAATTATAGTACGATCCCTTACATGATTTAAGGTATATATTCCTTATTTAAGGCATATTGGAGTCTGTGGGAACAGTTCAGGGGTAATCATAGGCTTGCACTGCTTCAGCTATGAGGCTTGCATGATTTTTGAACATCGATATGTTCGCGATGCTACCATGTACCCAACTACTATATACTCTGGCTTCAAAGTACCTGTACGGGGAATGCTTTGAAGCCAAAATATGTACTATATGAGTACATGAACCATTAGGGCTGGCTTAGTTAGTTAAAGGGCGAAGACTTTGACTATAATCCGGTCTTGACGATGATAATCCCTCACTTGGAGTAGGCACCCACACCAGAACAGAGGCATGATAAGACCACCAGAAGACACTCCTAGAGTCTACTAGAGTGACCATATTACCTATGCAGTGTTGACTCAACCTTATTACCTATACTACTTTGGGGGTTCCTGATTTTAATTATAGTATAATATACCCCTAACCCCATTCTAATTATTAAGGCTATCTTAGGTTCAGCTTTTCCCTCAGCTTGAACCCATCATAAACCCTAAATAGGGGCCTCAATAATAATAATAGGGTTTTCGGGTATCTTATACTATAATTATAATAAGGAGCCCTGACAATAATATAGGTAATTATTTAAGCAGCTGTTGGGGCCCGAGCCTCCTAGTGGCGCAGCTGGTGTCCTAGAGGTACTGATCCGGGCCATGGCTACTCGTAAGCGGGTCTTCTCAGATGTGGATGCAGGGGCTTCCCCTTCTTACTGGGATGACATTCGTATGATGTATGACGCCTCGGCTTCCTTGAACATTCCCATGGGGCATGGAGGCGCTTTTCATGTTGCTTTGGACGGCCGAGCTAACTGGCATGAGGGTCGCTGGCTTCTTCCGGGAGCTTTGATCGCGAGTTGGTTTTCAGACTGCCCAGAGGCACATACCGGCAGTGGCGCACGTGTAGTGGTTGCAGTTACGGAAGCAGTCTACCAAGCGGTGGCACGCCACTCAGCTGTGCTACGCATCCTGCAGGCGCAGGTCCACCAGGATCAAGAGACGTGTGTCATTGACACATGCAGTGGACGGTCAGTAGTCGCTGGCACTTGTATATCGTCTAGCTCTGCGGAAACGGTAGAAGTTGCTGAAATCTTTGCAGGGGGCTTCTGTGGTTGGAGCCAGGGCTTGAGGGTCCTCAACTCCTTCGGATATCAGGGTCGCGTCAAATGGCTTTTGGACACTGCTGAAGATTGCTTTCTGGGGTGCCGGCAAGTGAACCCAGGAACAACACCCGTCTTCCAACAGACCGAGCTTCTAGAGGTTTGGCAGTCGCCGGAGCCCACATTCATTTGCTCTAGCCTTGAATTTGGGTGGTGGCTTCAGGGCCCTGCGCTGACAAATCCCAAGATCGTTTGTGCCTCTGCACCGTGTCAGCCGTGGAGCACAGGAGGCAGTGGTCCGGGCCTTGAGGACCCGGACGGCCTGTTGCTTCTACACTTGTTTGGCCAATTGGCCTTCTTGCAGACTCCCTTTGTCATCCTAGAACAGGTTGCTGGGTTTCGGCAGCACAGGCATTTTGAGATAGTTGAAAAGGCGTGGACCGAGGCAGGATACTCTGAAGCATGGTCTGAGGTCATGGACATTCTGGAATGCACGCCTGTCACACGCAAGCGCTTCCTTATTGTCTTGAAACATCGTAGTGCCACAGCCCCACGCCTCGAAACAGACCGGCCTGTTTTGCCGCTGCGCCCGACCATAGGAAGCTTTGACTGCATTCTCGAACTGCCAGTGGGACTGCATCAGGCCTGCAGCTTGTCACCAGAGACCTTGGCAATATACCTGGATGCTTGGTACCTGCCACCAACCCGTCATGTTCATGCTAAGCCCCAAAGCCCTCAGGGATTTCGGTTTCGCAGTCTAAGTGACAGGGCCACTTGTTTTGTCGCACAGTACCATTTCCAGCACGAGCTTTCACCGAGGGCCTTGGAGACTGCAGGGCTTTATGGCACGCTCCTACAACTGCCGAAAGAGGTCAGATTTTTCAGTGGCGCCGAAATTGCTTTGATGCACGGCCTGGTCTGCCCGATGTGGCTTGATAAGGATGACAGGTGCCAAATGAAGCATATGGGCAACGGGCTCTCGCCGCTCCACGCGGTCGTGCCCTTGGCTCTGGCCCTTCAGGCAGTTGGGCCCCGATCTCTGCAGGTGTCAACTGCGCAGGCTTTGCTCCAGTGTCTGTCTATGCGCTATCGTGCTTCTCAGGTTAAGTTCCTTGAATTCCGGGAAGGATGGGTTCTTTTTCGTGAGGGTGAGGCTTTTGGAGCATTGGTTGAGGTCTTTTCCTCTTGGGTTCCAAGACAGCGCCTGCCGGACGCCGCATCCCTGTTTGGGCGTCTTGCGCTCTGCGATGCGCATGATGCATGCCAGCTTGTAATTGCGCCTGACGTGTCCCTGCCGGCCATGCTCGCTTACTTGGGCCACGAATTCCCAGATGAATGCCTCGGGGAACTTAGTCTGGTTTTAGTCCCACCTGATCAGGAACTCCAGCAGGGTTTGCAGGCTTCTTTGAAGAGGATGCCTGGGCTAACCTGGAGGGATTCAAAATCAAGTGTAGGGACGACCTTCAGGGCACGGTCAGCTTCCGCATTGCAGATGCACTGCCTAAGGATCCGGTGCACCTTGGTTTGGATCAATTGTCAGGGTTCTCCCAGGTGCGTGCTGCAGCTCCCCCGCGGTTTAGTTTGACTGGGGCTGTCACGCTCCCCTTCTGCAAATCCTTCCCAGTTTTCAACTTCCTGGCGCAGGGCTGGGCTGTCCACCTGCACCCCACGGTGACGGAAGCAGCAGTTCGTGCGGGTATTCATTTCACCGCCACTCGTGACTGCTTTCGCATGCCTGAAACCAGGGTTCTGCCAACATGCGCCAAGCACCTACTGGCTTGCCTTTTTGACGAAATCGAGCATATCGCCTGCAAGGATGATTCTCTCAGGGTTTCTTGTAAGCTTCAGGTTGAGGGTCGCACCTTCTGGCAAGGTTTGCTTCCGGCCGGATTGGAATTTGAGGAGCTTGCTGATTTATGGGATGCTGCCCACGAGGCCCTCCGTGTCATTGCTCCGGCCAGGGTCTACTCCGGCCCAAAACCCGTCCCCTCGGCTTTGACCTTGCTTCAGGCCCGTCGCGGGCCGGTCCCACCAGGTTTTGTCAACAAGGCCGGCTGGCTGCTCATCTCATACATGCCCGAAACACGGGGAGGAGGCGCCAAGGACATCAAATACCAGTCAGCCCAGACTGAGGTCGCCCAGTTACTGCTGGAGCAAGGGCTTTCCCTCAGCCAAACCACTGCTGTGGTGGATCGTTTGCTTCCACTGGCTGGCGTCCCAAGGTTGCAGCGCATCCTCGACCTCAGTGATGCTCCCAATAGGTGGTTGCAACTGCAGGCTTTGTGCAAGCAATTTTCTGTTTCGCTGCCGGATACCACTTCCCGCAGTTCCAGGGCCTCGACCTCCACCGCATTGGAGGCACAGCGTCGCAAGGCTAAAGCCGCCCCTAGCCCAACAGCAAGTGACTTTGCCCTGCAGCCCGGCTACTTTCGCAATGTCGATGATTCCCCGGCGGCGGTGCTTACACAATTGATGCCAGGTGCTAGTGGGGTTTACTTGTGTGATGCTGCCGAAGCACCGCGCCTCCTACAGGATTGGTCGGGCACCAGTGCCGACGAGCTCGGTTTGGTCATCTTGGGTCATTGCTGCCCGCAGCCGAGCACATGCCAAGGTAGCTGCGGGATCCCCGCTACCACCGCAGCGGGCCACCAGGTTCTCTTGCACGCCTGCTGGCACAATTTGGGTAAGACTCCCCTTCATGCCAAGTGCGACAAGGACGCAACTGTTACTTTGCCTGAGGCTGCCTGTGTCTGCGTCACTGCTTTTCAGGATGATTTTACTGCTGGGGATTGGCAGGGGCTCACTGCTAACCCTGTTCGGATCATCTCCGAACGATTGAAGGCCAGCGGCTCTACCGTCGTACTTGAGGCCCCGTGGGGTCGAAGCTTTCGTAAGGGCAATCGGGCGACGGCCCCGGCAGAGTGTGAGTCGGTTCAGTTCCACTGCCGTGTCCAGGCGGCTGATCTGCTCCAACTCCTGCGGTACTCTGGCCATGCCCAAGTGTACTTAACACCAAAGACTTGGCAGGGCGACATCGCTAAGGGCTATGCTGTCGTTTGGGCCGCAGGCGAGAAGGATGAGGTGATGCGTCAAAGTCTACAGGTACCAGACCCTTTAGGCATCGTGCGCTCCAAGAAGCGCTTTGGCATCAGGGTTGCGGAAGCCAACTTCGAAGCAGCCTGGAACATTGTCCGACCCCATCAGGATGCCCCGCCAAAGGTTGAAGTTACTGGCTTGTTCAAGCTCTTGTCGGCGCCGCCTCAGGTTCGTGCCTCTGACATTCAGAATTGGGCCCGGCAGATGAGCTGGGAGGTACGTCCTCTCAGATGTTTGGGCCCGGGCCAATGGTTGTTGGGCGCAGCCTCACCGCCCCCTGAAGGGCTCCTCTCTATGAACAAACAGACAGTGTTGGTCCAGGCCGTTGCCCCGCGTCAGCCTCAGCGCCCAGTCGTCCGGGCAGGACGAGCTCCGCGACCGTCGGCTGCAACTGTCAACAATACTGCTGAAACAGAGGACCCTTTGGCCCTGAATGACCCATCAAAGTCCTACCTTGCCTCCGCTGGCCGGCCTCTTCCCACCGGTAACCCTGTTAGTGGTCCTCGCCAGGCTGAGCCGCCAAACCAGCAGCGATTTGATCAGCAGGAAAGCCGTCTTCAGAAACTCGAGGCCGGATTGGATGAAGTCCGTCGTGGCCATACAGCCATGGCCCAGCAATTGGCCACAACGCAAACGGTTGTCGAGCAACAAGTCGAGCAAGTCCAAGGCGAGCTCAACAGCTTCGCCCGTGATTTCCGGCAACAGCTTCAGGCAAATGCCGAACAGCAGCGTCAGGCGCAAACTGCCCATCAGCAACAGATGCAGACTGGCATCGATGAAATCAAGGCCATGCTTGTGGCAGGTCGCCCCACTGGACAGAAGCGCCCGGCTGCCCTTCCTGAGATGGGCGATGACCTGTGAAGCAAACCCCCCTTCTCGGGCCGAGAATGGGGGTTTGCTTTTGACCATTTTCCAGCCCAGGCCCAGCAGCTTGGGGATGGCACCATTTTGGTGCCCGGGGATTTTGCTAGGATTCCGGTCCGCCTTCAGTTCTTTCTCTGGTTTATCGGGTATCGTTTTGGGGAGGCCAAAAACCCTGGTCCTCGCTCTCAGTCTGGTTCTCTTACTTTGGCGGTTGTGAATCCCACCACCATTCTGGACAAGGAATGGCACATCAATCGGGTTGGAGCCGATGTGCTCTTTGCAAGCGAGACATCTGCAAATGCGCAGGTACAACAGATTATGAATCATAAGTTTCGGGGATTGGGGTATAGTTGCCTGTGGGGCCATCCAACAGAGACCAGGCACCACACCTCTTCAGGTCGCGCAATGTTGCGCAGCTACGCGTTGGGCGTGGCCGTCTTCTCCAAGTTGCCGAGTCGTCCGGCTGTGCAGCCACTCCCGGATGCCATGTCTTTAAGCTGTCGCATTTCCGAGGGCTTTGTCAGGTTCCATTGCATGGAGGTCAAGGTTATCTCTGTCTATGGTGTTCCCAGGTGCCTCCCTGATGCGGCCCAGCGCAACAATCTTCTTTTGGCCTGGGCCTTCCAGCGAGCCACTATCTCTTGTGTTCCCGCAGTTGTGGCAGGGGATTTCAATACCTGCCCCACCGACTTGCCTTCCTGGCAAGCTTTTTCCGGTCTTGGCTGGGTTGAGCTTGGCGCCTTCGCAGCACAGGTCCTCGACCTTCACCTTCCATGCACCTGCAAGGGGGCCACAAGGTTCGACACCTTCCTTCTTCCACCTTCGCTTTCCCAGTTCATCGTGTCCGCTGATGTGCTTACCGACGAGCACTTGTTTGATAGTCATGCACCGATGCGGCTGCACTTGCGTATGCCCGAGGCCTCGCCTCACAAATGGATTTGGCCGATGCCCCGCACATTTCAGGGCCTCTTGCAGACCACTTCTTCTTTTGAAACCAGCTACCGGCAGCTCTCAGCTCCTCTACGAGGAGCGTTCCAGACAGCAACACCAGAGGCACAACCGGGCGACAAACTCCGCCTTTGGTCCACTGCCGTGGAAGAGTCTGTCTCTAAGGCTATCCGTGCTGAACACATGCAAGGTGACTGCCAGCAAGAGCTACGTGGCTTACCACGCTCCCATACTGGGCGTTGCCGGGCCACTATATCGGGTTCAGGCGGCTCCTCCTTTACTGCCGCGCAGGGGCCGACATGGGGATCCCGAGCCATTCGATGAGGATACTTCGGTTCTGGGTCGCCAACGCTTGCGCCAGCTGCGCCGCCTTACCACTTACGGCCGGGGTTTGGCCCGCTTTCTACGTGGCACTCATCAGGGCCCCAAAACAGCTGATGGCTGGCCGCTTAGCCTGGACAAGGAATGGGCCGCAATTTCACGGGCGGCGGGATACGGCAGGTGCTTCGCCCGTTGGGTCCTGCAGTGGCCCTGCTTCACCCACTTCCCGCTTTCCCGGCCAACCACAGACTTCGTGGCCGATCTCACCAGCTTTGTCCGGTTTGACGTGGAGGCCCACCAACGCCAGACGGTTAATGTAAAGAGTAAGCTGTTCAAGTTCAAGCTCCAAGTGGATGCCCAGGAATTTGGGGGTTCACGCAGCTTTGTTCGGGTGCGTGCTCCTGAGAAGCCGCCCTTCATATGTGTTTTTCAGCAGTCTCTTCAACCGGCCTGGGTGCAACAACGCCACAGCCACCAGCTCTGGACCTTTCAGGTGCAAGATCCCTCCAAATTTGAGTTGTACGGTCAGGTCGCCTATGCACAGGTCAAAGGCCAGGTCACGCGGGTTTGTGACAATCTTGTCACGGTCCTTTTCCCCTCAGATGAGGACGCTGTCTTGCCGCTAAGTGGCTCACTCAGTCGCTCTTTTCATGATACTTCCTGGTTTGGGGTTGTTGGCTCTCTTATGGAGTTCTGGAGCCCCATCTGGAATAGAGATAGCACTTCTGCCTCTGAGGATATTCAGGACTGGCCCCAGTACCTGCATCTTGTCCGTATGCTTCAGAGCCCGTGCCCCGCGCTCGATGTTGATCTTCTTGATGTCGAGGCCTGGCTTCACGTCGCTCGTAAGCTCTCGCCCAAAAAAGCTGCCGGGCCCTGTGGTTGGCACAATCACGATCTTAAGCTCCTCCCGCAGGAGGCTGTTGCCGATCTTGCCCAAATCATGCATGGCTACCTGGCCACCGGCTTTCCTGCTGACATCATGCGTGCTCGCGTGGCAGTCCTAAGTAAGGTCGCCAACCCGGACAGTGCCGCCCAAGCTCGACCGATCACAGTGCTGAGTTGCCTTTTCAGGTTTTGGGCCAGGGTCCTTTGCACTCAGGTGCTCGCTACTTGGAGTCACCGGCTGCCGGCCTCAATAGTGGGTTGCTTGCGAGGCCGCTCTGCCTTAGACTTGTCCTATTCCATACAGGCGCTCGTTGAGGACAGTCTGATCAATTCCACTGACCTGTCAGGGTTCTGCTTGGACCTGAGGAAGGCCTTTAATTTTCTGCCACGGGCTCCCCTATCTGATTTGCTCCAGCGCCTTGGGGTCCCGCCCGCCATTGCCGAGTGCTGGCGTAAGTCTCTCTCCCGCGTCAGTCGGTGCTTTCAGGTCCGGGGTAGTTTGGGCCCACCGTTGGGCTCCAGCACTGGCGCTCCCGAAGGGGATCCGACTTCTGTCTTGGGTATGATAGCGGTTTGTTGGATGTTTGTCTCCTTACTGCAAGGTCTTGTGGAGCCCAAAGCATATGTTGACAATCTGTCCTGGTCTTCAGATGCGCCTGACAATCACGCCCCGGCCATTCTTGTGTTACAGGACTTTGTTTCCTCTCTTCGGCTTGAGATCGATTGGAAGAAAACTTACCAGTGGGCTACCTCGCCCACCTCACGCAGGTGGTGGCAACAAGTTGGTTCCGCCCTGCTGCCCGCTGGCCATGGCCTACAGTTGGTATCTCATGTCAAAGAGCTGGGCTCTTACCACCAGTTCTGTCGCCGTGGCAGCGCCACCGCTTTCAATGACCGGATCGAGGAGGCACATGCACGCTTGACCAAGTTAGGTACGGACCCTCAATGCCTCGCCACACGCAGCCTGGTAGTTCAGAATGGGGTGTGGCCTTTTCTCTTCTTTGGCACGGAGGCTTTGCTACCCTCTGCCACGGCAATTGGCCGCTTGCGAGGCTCGGCCGCTAGAGCTTTGGTTGGGCCTCACCACACCTTGTCTGCTCATGCCGCGCTTTGTCTCCTGCCCACCGTCCAGGACCCGGAGGTTTACTTGCTTTGTCATCACATTGGACAGTTGAAGCGAGCCTCACGTCTCTCGCCCACCACTGCCCGCCTGATTTGGCATCATCTCTTGCATAGCCCCACCTCCGCACGAACCGTTTGCGGCCCAGCCGGGGCCCTGCAAGTTCTCCTTCATCGGATGGGTTGGACCTGTGCCCCGGATGGCAACTTTAAAGGTCCGCTGCACTGCCATTTCCACATTCACAACAACACCATGCAGCAGATACGTTGCTCTATCGAGCAAGCTTGGGCTGATAACATGCAAGATCAGATTCTGCATCGCAATGGCTTGCACCAGGCCCCTGCACCTCATGTCAGCTTGACGCACAAAGTGTTTCAAAAGTTTCGATCCTGGGAGCAACATTTTCTCGCCCGCCATTTTTGCGGTGCCTTTATGTCTGGCGCTGAAAAACAAACTTGGTCCCGATTAGAGGTTGATAATTGCCCTTTGTGTGGTGAGCTAGATACTAAGGCCCATAGACTCTTTTCTTGTAGTGCACTTCAGAGCAAACGTTTGCCACATGCAGATCCACTGGAACAGGTGCGCACGCAAAAAGCTCATTGGGTACACATGCCATATGCGTCTTGGCCCTTTGAAGCTTCAGTGCTGCAGCTGCTGTTGGCGCAGCTTCGCCTGCCGCCCCCAGCACCTCCATGCACTAAGGCATCGGTCACTTTGCTCACGGACGCAAGTGCTTTGCATTCAACTTGCCCCACTGCACGTATCACGGCTTGGTCAGTAGTTGTGGGACAATGCCCCGCTGCAGCTCCCGACCTGTCTCAGGAGGATGTTCAACCAGAGCGGCTGCTTACGGATTTTGCAGTTCTTGCGCAGGGCTGCACCCCCGGCCAACAGACCGTCCCTCGAGCAGAGCTGGCTGCCATTGTTTGGGTGTGCCATTGGTTGGCCGCTACTCCGGCGTTGCGGCAGTGCTCTACTCCGATTGCCAACCAGCTTTGGATCTTTTCCACAAGTGGCTCAGCTATGGTTGGACTGCTGTGAGTTCTGCTGCTAATGCCGACTTGCTGCGCGACTGCCCCTGTCCGGCAGCATTACATGCCATCAAAATCAAGGCCCACCGCTCCCTCGAGGAAGTGGCTGCCATGTCCCCCTGGGAGCAATGGTTAACTGCTGGCAACACTGCTGCTGATGAAGCCGCCAAGGCCGCTCGCAATCATATCCCCACAGTGATACAGGACATGGCCAATACAGTGCAGCAGCACTGTTCTGAGGAGAAGAACCTGCTCAGGGACTTTTGCCGGGCTGTCTTGGATATGGGTGTTCTGGAGGCATGCAGCCGTAAGCAGCACAGAGCTTCAGAAGCCGCAACCTCGTCCTCTTCGGCATGGGACCTTCAAAGTTTTCTTGAAAAGGCACGGGCATGGCAGGCACCTGCTCGCAGGTACTTCCCATTCCCGGCCGCATGGGAAGAGGACTGGTCGTCATGGCGTTTTGGGCAACCTTACGGTCAGCATTTGGTTTCCTGGCTGCAGTCCTTAAACTGGCCAGAGCAGCCAATGCCTCCCCAAGATAGCTGGCAGATTTCCTATTTGGAGCTCTTGCTCCACTTCTGCGTGACAACAAGCTGTTCCCCCGTGATTGAGAATGTGTTGAACCCAGGGTGCTACTGGTCGCTGACCTCTGCCCACCAACAGTTACAACATACTTCTTTACGGATGCTCGTGTCTTGCTTTCGGGCCAGCCTATCGCAGCTGGCCAAAGTGGTTGGTTTCCAGGTCCTTCCGTGTCTGGATATCGCCAATGTGGATTATGCGCCGGCTCTTGGTACAGGGCTGACGGCTCCAGGACTCTCCATACGGCCGTTTCTTCCGGGCACAGACTGGCTAGACGCTTTGGGCGAACTGGTCAATCACGAAGACGCGGTGCAGTTCTTTCTTCAGACATGCGGAACTTGAACCTTTTTTACTGCGCCAACGCCGCGCAGGTTTCACACAGAGACGGCAAGGACTCGCGCTTCGAGGTGCATGGGTGTCGCGGGCTGTGCTTGCTCAGAGTGCTCCCCGCCGGCCCCTTGCACCCCCCTCAGGCAACGGTAAAGGTAATTATTTAAGCTTCTAAATTAAACCGCCCCATAAATCGATGCCAGAACCATGCTCCAAAGCCTAAATGCTCAACCCCAGCCCGTAAACTTCAAATCGAAACAACACTCCAAACCCGGAGCACTAAGCCCTGCACCTCAACCTTACAAAACTAAACTCTGTGTGCACAAGCTACGTGTGCATGATCACGTGTAAATCCTAACCGCCCTAAGCCAAGACCCCGAACTCGAAACCCCCAGCCCCATAATCCGAAAATGTACACCCTCAACCCTAAACTCTAAACCCCTAAACCCTAAACAGCCCCATAATCCGCAATTGTACACCCTCAAACCAAAACTCTAAACCCCTAAACCCTAAACAGCCCCAAAATCCGAAACTCAAACCATCCCAAACCCTACAACTCCAAAATAAAAAATCAAAGACTTCAAAGTTGTTTTACAGCCCTCATAATCTTTTTGTAGCACCCTCGCATGAGCCGTTTTCATATAGGAGCCTTAATAACTAGAATAAGGTTTTGGGGCGCATTATATCATACTTATAATAAAGAGCCCCCAAAATAGTATAGGTAATTACTAAGGCTCCTAGATCACACCCTAAGCGGCACTGCCGGGAGCCGGGCTGAAGCTACAGATCCAGTAGGACACGTCCGCGGCGCTTCGGGGAGCCCTCGCGTTGCGGATCGTTTTACACAGTATCCGTTGCTGTCTTTAAAGTTTTGTAGGGTTTAGGAAATCGGAAACTTTGTTTTGTGTCAGAAGATCCCACCACAAAGTTGCCTAACCAACGAAGGAACTTAGAGATCTGCCGATTTAGGGTTGAGGCCTGTGGGGCAAAAACGTTCAATGCTTAGGGTTCGGAGTTGAGGGTTGTTAGGGCTTGGGGTTTGAATATTTGAAGGGGGGTTGAGGTTGGCCTGAAAGGCTTATATATACTAGAGTGCTCGCATTTGGCCCTGTCATGGGATTTTAGAACCTACTTGGAGGTTCATGGGCTTATATATACATATATATATATATATATATATATAGATATATATATATATATATATACGTATATATATATATATATATATATACACATAGTTATATACACATAGTTTCATTATTTATACGTTGTGCTGTATATGTTGTGTACATTTTCGTAAGGTCCTTACAAGTTCTTGAGCCAGTCAAGAAATCGGAAAAGCTGCTAATTTTTCATAGAAGTGGGCTCGCAGGTCGGGAGCAGGTTCTTTGGGGCTTCAAAAGGGCCTCAGTATGCCTCAGTGCCTATGAACAATTCGGCTTTAGGTAGGGTTTGGGGCATAGTTTGATGAAGTATGTACAACTGAAAAAAGAAGACCTGAGGCACACTGGGGTGTGGCTTTAAGGGCTGAGCTAGGCTGATGCGGGATTAAACCCTGTGCGGGGGTTAAGAGGCTTAGGTTTAGGGCTGAGACTGCGGATGTCTTCGAGTTGAGGTTAGGGTTTAGAGTTTAGGGTACTTAGGTTAGGGTGGTGTCCCCAAAAAATGAAGCCTGTCTGGACAGATGGCCAAGTTGCTCTACGACGGTCTCCGAGTGCTTCTTGATGCTGAAGACAAAATGAGCGAAAGAGGTGCCCCAATAGTGGGACACAAACCTGGCGGCGGTCTGCTTGTGGCATCTGGATGATCGCGAAGACTTCGACTAGGGTGCCTGGAAAGGTTGAAGTTGCAGATTGAAACGGTATGGGTCGGACAACCTTGAGACCCTGCACTTTGCAAGCTCTGAGCCGCAAAAGCAAGCAAAGCCCCGAAAACCCGTAAAACTGAAGCTTTCGAAACTGTGAAACATAAGTGCCGAACAATGTGAATCCCTGGCTCCACAGACCCAGAACATCAAAACATGCGGGGTTCGATATCTAAGAATCCGAATCTGAGGTTCTGCGAATTAAACTGAATGCGAAAAACGAACCCTAATCTACGAAATTTGAAGGCCTCCCGAATGCGTGGAAATCTTCGAGTTTTAAGAGGACGGCCGAGTAGTACGGTACACGGTTCAGATCTGGCCATGCTTCAACGCTTAGCCGGCTTAGCCTCTAAAGCTTACACCCCGAAGTCCAAAACACCCGTGAGCCGTAAACCCTGAACCCTAAATCCTGAACCTGAAGCCCTCCTCAAACCCTCCACCCTAAACCCTAAACCCTAAACCTAAACCCTGAGCCCTGACGCCCTGAACCTGAAAACCTGGACCCGTAGTCCAAAGCCTACAGGGTTCAGGGCTTAGGGCTCAGGGCTTGGAGTAAAGGACTAGGGTCTAAGGCTTCTCTACTGTAAAGATATGAGGGAAGGCATAGCCTTGTAGAACCCGTTTGGAACTTGTAGAACACTTAAAGGACCCTTATGGCACCGGCACCGGGGGGTTTAGGGAAATTACTTTATTAAGGGACCCCTCTATAATCGTCCTCGAACGCTGATCAACCACTTTGTAACGGTAGAACCCGCAGTCAAAAGAGAAACCTAAAAGCTGATATTAGCCCAAGCACAAGTAATCAAGGGTAGAAGGAGGGACCCTTAATGAGGACCCCTAGGTATATACCCTTAATATAGCTATTATACACCCATCAAATAGCCCATTATAGGGTAGGGGTCCCCATTAAGGGTCCCTCCTTTTCCCCTTTGAAAGTAGTCATCATGACTGTAGCTCTCTTCTCCGATAACACTGCCAAAAGAAGTACAAACTGATCACAGATAGACCAGAACATATATGGCCAGCAATTTTAAAGTTCGCCCAGTGGCGAGCTTGGTTAGTTAGCTCCTGCAAACCAGATCCCTGTTGGAACCCTTGCAGAAACCGCGTTCGAAACACTAAAACGGGGCCTCAATGATTAGAACGGGTTTTGGTTTTGGGTATCTTATAGAAAAAAGCCCGAAGGAATAATCTTGGCACTTATTTCGGGGGAACCCTCTCTCCTAATATAGAAGCCTTGATTATTAGAATAGAGTTTGGGGACCCAGTTTTACCGTAGCTATAGTAAGGAACCCCCAAGGCAAAATAGGTAATTAGTAAGGGCCCCTATAGTATCTTAAAGGAACCCTAAACCCTAAAAAGGAGCCCTCTCTGATATATACCAACCCCTAAACCTTAAACCCTAAAAAGGAACCCTCTCTGATATTAACCTGCCGTGTCACCAATCCACCGGCTGCGGGCCAACCACCTCTGCGTACGAGAGGCGACTCGCCCTGGTCCTTGCATACTTGGAGGGTCGGGGGACTTAGTAAATAGGTAGTAAGTAGACTTATAAGTACCCTAAACGGGACACTAATTGGGGTTGTACTTATAAGTCCTTAAAATAACCAGCTACTAAGTGACTAAGTCCCCCGACCCTCCAAGTACCCAAAACACCCTACTTGGAGGATCATGGGACTTAGTAAGTAAGGTTATAAGTACCTTAATTGGGGTTATAAGTAGAGTTACCCTAATTAAAACCCAAATTACTAGGTGCTGGGCGGAAGTGACTTGTGTCTTAAGGGTCTCGGCTTTTGTGCTTAGGTTTTGTGTTTTTGTGGAAAGTTCTAGGGCAGGTGTAGGGGTTTTGGGTTTCAGTTTTTGAAGCTATGAAATACCCAATTAGAAGAAGCCTTTTGCAGAGTCCAACTACGATTCTCTGCATGGCTGGTAGATGCTGTTGCGCAGCACTATTGTTGGTGCTTGCAGCCTTTATGGGGGCCGGGAGAATGACTAGAGATGGAGTTAGGGGCTCTTTAACAGTTATAACACTGCACTCGAAGAGGATAAATAACAGATGTTGTTGATGGCTGAGACCCAGCCTGTGGCACTTTGCCTACGACTCTTGTGCTTTGGGAAGCATAGTGAACAGCATGTAGCCGTCAGAATTCGACCGAAATCCAGGTGACACAGCCTCGTGGGTGCGCATATGGCTTCGGACTGATGTAAGCCGCTTCGACCAGCCGCAGCACCCA